CATTTGCCGTTACTAATTGGCAATTGTTGGGGCAAATCGAGGCGCCTTATCAACTGATAAGCAAATATTAATATTATTATTTTTAATATTATTTTATTAAATGCAATTTGCAACAATTCTCATTTCTCTTCTTCTTTCTGGTCTGTTTCTTGCAGAGGATGCACGGAAAACAGGTTCGCGCGTTTTGCTACACTGTCACGCGGGCATCTCGCGCAGCGCCACCATCGCCATTGCGTACGTCATGCGGTACAAGTCGCTGTCGCTGATCGAGGCCTACAAGCTGGTGAAAGTGGCCCGGCCCATCATCTCGCCCAATCTGAACTTCATGGGCCAGCTGCTCGAACTAGAGCAGAGCCTGCTCAAGAGCGGCGCCCTGGCGCCGCTGCCCACGGTGTCCCCATCCGCATCGCCCGCTGCCAGCAGCAATGCGTCAGCATCTAGTCAGCTCGTGGAAGAGCCCGAGGAGGAGGAGGAGGAGGCCGAGTTACGTCCGGTGCCAGTGCCGCGCAAGTCCAAGTCGGACAGCGAGGCCATGGACGAGGATGTCTATGATTATGATGATGTGGACAGTGGCGCCAGCAGCTTTGCCGGCAGCAATTGCTCATCGCGCCTCACCTCTCCGCCCGTCACGCCGGACGAGACGCCCTGCACGTCGGCAGCGGCGGCGGCGTCAGCGGCAGCTGCCACTGAATTGGACTCGCCGTGCTCCAATAGCAGCAGCGGCATCTACTCCATTTCAACATCGCAAGAGTTTACACCTGCTGCGCCCGCACCTGTTACACCTGCTGCAACGTCGACGGCGGCGACGCTGTCGCCCACGCGACCGCTGGCACTCTTCAAGCGCAACTCGCCGGCGAAGCTGCGTCTCAATCTGGAGCCCAGCTACAACACGCCCAACATACCAAAATCCATATCCTGCATATCCATACACAATGCCAGCCAGCATAGTCCGCTGCCGCGGGAGGCGCCAGCCACGCCCAGCTGTGAGCTGGCGCCCACAATGGCCAATGGCGACAACAACAACAACTTGGTGGCGGCCACGTCGAGCGATTGATGCATCAGACGGAGGCGACGCCACCGACGCCCCAAAGCTGTGAATAAAATAAAACTTATGTGTACAATTAAGTGATGCGAAATTTCGTATTTTATATACTATAATACAGAGAGCATGATTGAATGGATTGATTGGTTGATTGATTGATGGATTGATTGATTGATAGCTAGCCTCACTTACAACTACTCTATGAATTGAGCGTGTATATTTTGTACCTAAAAACAGAGAAAAGCAAATGAAAACTTCTGAAAAAGAAATGAAGAAAAAACAAAAGTTTTTGAAGAATGCTAACGGGGAAATATTTAGTCTAATTTGTAATTTTAAATCATTTGTAATCTAACCTTAGATCACACAGAACCAGATACAAAATAGATCAACTATATATTTCGTAAAGCATCAAACTATATAAATCTTGTGCTGCTATTATAAATTGTTTAAAAACCTCGTAATGTTTAATTTAGTATAATTTATAATCATAAGCAAATCTTAACTATTCACATAGTAAACAAAAATAATAATCATATAAAAAACAAAAAACAACAAGAAAAGATTATATAATGAACTTTACAAGCGCATTACAAATATTTCTGCTAACTTGCCCAAAATCCACAAGTCCACAAATCCAAATCCCCAATTAGAGAGATGTTTACTATATCTACACTATATTATCAAAACTGTTCTAAGTTTTATGCGACTACTGTATCCACCCACACATACACACACGCACATATATGTATATATATGCATATATGTATATATATATTGTACTCTCAGTCACGCTTTTCAAACCTATAATTGCATGTATGTGTATGTATTGTATATTTAAACTATTTTCAAGTGAGCGAGCAATTTTGTTTGGTTTTGTGTTTGTGTTTTTCTAGTTTTAATTATTTATATAAAAAAAAAAACAACAAAAAGAAACAGATGAGAGAGAATGAGAGCGAGAGAATTGTATGCAATTTGATTTATTTCGTTTAGTTTGTAAGCATTTTAAATTAAGGCTCTACACCCAAGAAGTGTAACCCGTAATAGAAAACATAAAAACGTAACCAAAAAAAAATACCAAACGACTTTTATTTGAATAGAAAATTTGGCGCCAAATTAAAACTATTGTATATCGCCACTGGTCAGTGATATCGCATCATTGTAAATAGTGTTGAAACCTGCCTAAGTGCAGCCCTGGTCAGTATGTGATCTGACATTGGCAGTCTGGCTCATTTTCGTTGTGGGCGCTCGTTTGATTTGCTTTATTTGGTTTGTGCTTTGATCAAATTGAGGCACCAGAAAATTGTAGGTGAAGTGAACATCAATTGTAAGTACATATATAAATTAATTATTTGCAGCGCATCTGCTAATCATTTTCACTAACCTATATAATTTGTGTGGCACTACGCCTTTGCGTACTCGATTCATGCGAAATAAGTTGCGCCATTTTATCACCAATACTAAAAAAATTTACCGTTTTTCCGCTGACTCTGCAGTTATTCCAATAGCAAGTTTAATCGTTGCGTTCTCTTGTGAAATGTCCGAATTAGATTGGGATGACCCCAACTACGTTGAGAAACCAACAAAATACGCTGAATCTACATACAATAAGAATAATGATTATTACTCTCGTGGTCGTCGATCGGGCAATGGCGGCAGCCGTAAAAACGGGAACTCTCGGGGAAACGCAGAGCACGCTTACAGCTTTTCGCTGAACATCTCTTCAGATATGATGGGCCGCGTAATCGGTCGGGGTGGCTCCAATATAACGCGAATTCAACAAGATTTCTCAGTTCGGGTCGATGTAGATAAGCGCGCACAGACGGTCACAGTCTCAGGCAGTGAGAAAGGTAACGTTAGAAAAGCGTTAGACGAGATAAGCTGGCAGATGCAAAGCGATGGCGGTGACTATGGCCACACGTCGAAGCGTGGCAGTTATGGCCACTCCTATGGTCAGTCCGACTATGGACGCTCTGGTGGCGGAAAGTCTGGCCGATATGAGGACAGAAGAGACCGATCGAGCCATACAAGTTATGGTGGAGGAAAAAGTACTTATGACTTTGCGCCATCCTCATCAAAAGACGACGATGGCGACTTGACGGGCACCATAGATTGGGAGGCACTGAACAAGGCCTCAGTAAGGATAATTAAGTGTATAACGTAAAGGCCAATTTAAAACTTCACAATTCAACAGGAAATTGCTCAGGCCAAACGTTGGGCGAAATGTCCACCGTTGACCAAAAATTTCTACAAGGAGTGTCCCGAGGTGGCTAACCTGTCCGAGGCGGAGGTAGCGCAGCTGCGCCTGGAGAATAACAACATCAGTGTTTCGCATGTCTTCGAGATGCAGGAGGGCGAAGTGTGTGCGCCCATACCGAATCCTGTATGGAAGTTCGAGCAATGCTTTGCCGAGTACCCCGATTTGCTGGCCGAAATACTGAAGCAGGGATTCACGAAGCCTTCGCCCATACAATCGCAAGCCTGGCCCATTCTGCTTCAGGGTCACGACATGATTGGCATTGCCCAAACGGGCACAGGAAAGACGCTCGCCTTTCTGCTGCCTGGCATGATCCACACCGAATACCAGAGCACGCCGCGTGGTACACGAGGTGGTGCAAATGTCCTGGTCTTGGCGCCCACGCGAGAACTGGCCCTCCAGATCGAAATGGAGGTGAAGAAGTATTCCTTTCGCAACATGAAAGCGTAAGTGGGAACCCGAAAGTCGATCCCATTTTGATTTTGTTTCCTTTGATTAGCGTTTGCGTCTATGGCGGCGGCAGTCGCAAGATGCAAATTTCGGATGTGGAACGAGGTGCTGAGATAATCATCTGTACGCCTGGACGCTTGAATGATCTGGTGCAGTCCGGCGTCATCGATATATCAACCATTACCTATCTGGTGCTGGACGAAGCCGATCGCATGCTGGACATGGGCTTTGAGCCGCAGATACGAAAGGTGCTGCTGGACATACGGCCGGATAGGCAAACCATTATGACATCGGCCACCTGGCCGCCGGGTGTTCGTCGCCTGACCCAAAGCTATATGAAAAATCCGATACAGGTGTGCGTCGGCTCACTGGATCTGGCTGCTACGCATTCCGTCAAACAGGTGATTGAGATACTGCAGGATGACAAGGATAAGTTTCATGTGCTTTGCAAGTTTTTGGACAACATGAGCAAGTCGGACAAGATCATTGTGTTCTGCGGGCGGAAGGCACGTGCCGACGATCTGTCCAGCGATTTGAGTCTGCGTGGATATTCCACACAGTGCATACACGGAAGTCGGGAGCAGTGCGACCGGGAGCAAGCTATAGCGGACATTAAGTCGGGCTTGGTGCGCATTCTAATTGCCACGGATGTCGCCTCACGCGGTCTGGACATTGAGGACGTATCGTGGGTGTATTTAGTATATTCTAGTTGATTCATTTTATGACATTTTGTCTGCTCTTTAGGCATGTCATCAATTATGACTTCCCACGCAACATAGAGGAGTATGTGCATCGTGTCGGTCGCACGGGCAGAGCCGGTCGTCAGGGTACATCCATTAGCTTCGTCACACGTGAGGACTGGGGCGTGGCCAAAGAGCTGATTGATATTCTGGAGGAGGCTCAGCAGGAGGTGCCTGAGGAGCTGCGCCGTATGTCTAAGCGATTTTCAGATATGAAACAACGTCGAGCAACCGAAGGGGGCACTAGAGGTGGACGTAACCTTGGCGGTGGCCGGTCTAGGGGTCCACGGGCTCGATATTAAATCGGACTACAATTTACATTATGCCCGGAGGCAACAACGATTTTTGTTTGAGCAAACAAATTAGGACAACGCATTGAAGCGATCGAATATTCTTTAGTTACATGTTCTTTTTCTCGTTTTTATCAATTATGAAATTTAAAGAGTTGCGAAATCTAACCCAAAATTCGAGGGTTTCAATATTTTCAAAGCAAATCAAAAAGAAAACTACATTAAATATATGTAAATGAGAAATGTATTGTAAATGTTTTCTTAATTTTCGTCTGTGTATTTTTGCAGCAGTTCCTGTTTGCGCTTTCGCAGCAGCGCCTCCTGCACGTCCTGCTGCGTGGGCACGGGCACGTGGGCAGTGAAGCGCGGGGCGAGCAGTCCGTGTGGATCATTTTCAGCTGCGCGTGCTTTGGCATCTTCGGCTGCTTCGCGCGCCGGGCCAGAGAGCGGATAGATTTCGTCGTCGTCCTCCTCGTCGTCGATGATGCGGCCATCGCGTGCCATTTTCTCACGCCATTCCTGCACGGCTTTCTGCAGAGCGATCCGCTCAATCTTCTCCTCCAGCGGTATAAGCACGCCGTCCTCGTCGTCGCGATAGCCATAGTACTCGGCGTCGATGTCCTTCATCAGCTCGGCACGAGTTTTGCGCGGCGGCGGCGGTGGATCCTGTTCGAACAGCTCTCGCACGCCAGGCAAATCTTTGGCAGCTCCAAAGTATTTGTAGCCTCGATTGCCCGGCACCTCGCGGCCTTCGGCATCGAACATTTTGGGGCCATACCGACGATAGTGTGGACCGCCCAGCGCTGATATCTGATTCTCCCAGTGCCGTTTCTCACGCAGCAGCTTGTTGATTTCATCGTTCAGATCGCGAATTCGGAATTCACCCAAACCAGCTGGAAAATATATTTGATTATGTTCCGTTACTTCACGTGTCACTGTAATTTTTTACCATTTTGAATTTGTGCAACTTTCTTGGATATTTCACGTATAATCTCCAGGCGAAACTTTTCACACTTTGGCAGTTCATGGCACTCCGAGGCTAGGTAAGGCCGGCGCTCCTTTTCACCTGATTCGACTTCCTTGGCGGCTCGCCAACGCGCCAAAGTTGTCCTGCCGGCATAGAGAGATATGTAAATAAAATACGATCATAGTTCCAATATATACTATACTTACATAGCCTTCTCTGCATTTCTTGCCTGCAATTAATCAGTTTTAATATATAAATCAAATAATTTAACTAAGAAAACGTTTACTTACCATTTTTATAGATTGTTTATATTTCTATTTGTGGTGGCTCGTGGATAACAGCTATGAATCGGCAGTCACCACGATTCGATACATTATTAACATCGATTATTGTAAGCTGGTATTGCTGTTAAATAACAGCTGGTTTTGTTTTCGGACTGCAGCCGTCTCAGCTGTTAAGTTACTCATCAGGCCTTGCTCAGTGTTCGAGCTTAGCAGACAAACTTCTACTCGACAGGAGATAATAAATTTTATAGTATTAATTTCGGTCGATTATGCATAAAAACTCGAAGACATTCGAATAAAAACAATTAAAACATTTACCAAGTAACGAACGAAATAAACTAGCAATATTGTTCATCGTTCATTTGTTCAGTAGTTCGATTACATTTGTTCCGATACAATATCACTGCTGTTTCGCATACGCCATTTATTTGCAAAGAAAAAAGGAAAAGCAATTAACAAAACAGAATAAAGATGTTGGCGCTTATCAACAGGATTCTGGACTGGTTCAAGAGCATCTTCTGGAAAGAGGAGATGGAACTGACGCTTGTCGGTCTCCAATTCTCTGGCAAAACCACATTCGTCAATGTTATTGCAGTGAGTATTTTTTCCCCGAAAAAAACCTTTCGTTTGCTTTGGTGAGTGTAAATGGGGCGGCGCCAGCTTTTAAGCGGTTGGTCAGGGGTCAAAAGAGCAGCGTGCCGCAGGCTATGGCAATACCAGAGTCAGGGAAGGAATCAAATAACCCATAGACAGGAGCAAGAGACGGTAAATGACAAATCGAGCGCTGTTGTTGCTTTGCTGTTTGCTATTGATTTCTCTTTGTTTCGACAAGAAAACAAAAACGAAACAGAAGCAGAAGAAGAACAAGAAGGAAGGAAACGTCATGCAGTCAGTTATCAACTATATTTTTACGTTCTGTCGTTTCGCACTGTCACAGTTAACTTCATTTAGAACATATTTTTATTGTGTCTCGCGCTAATCAATATGTGTTATTTGCTCGAATGACAGCATTATCAGCGCTCTAGAGTCGTTTGCCTATCCCAGAAACCCAATTCAGTGATAATTTCCACCTCGAGCTCCAAATCTGACTGCAAATATGAAAATATTCTATTGTTGTTATTGTTGTTGCTATTGCTATGAGTCATGTGGCTTCAACTAAATATAATTCTTAAGCTAAGTGAAACTGAAACCACATGCCCCGAGACATTTCAGAGAATCGAAACTGCCTTGGGGTGGTTCTTGATATAAAGTAAGGTCTGGCTTGCCTGAGTTTTCAATAGGAGTTGATTAATCTACCACAGTGGAACATCTATAGAAAGACCATGTAATATAAATACGAAACTTTTTGAAGAAATCTTTCAAAAGTGAGGAAACTTTGCATGCTCTTAGATCCCACCTTAAACAAGACTTTATCTGTTTTATATGTACTATAAGTCTATCTTATGCTAGTTCTAATTATAAATATCTTTTACCCTCTTAAATTCTCAGTCCGGCCAGTTTGCTGAAGATATGATACCGACAGTTGGTTTCAATATGCGCAAAATAACCAAAGGCAATGTAACCATCAAGGTCTGGGATATCGGAGGCCAGCCACGTTTTCGTTCCATGTGGGAGCGTTACTGTCGTGGCGTCAATGCAATTGTGTAAGACTCATCCGCTATAAGCTACCCACAGCATCCATATCTGACTCATTTGCTCATATTGCATTTCAGTTATATGGTCGATGCGGCTGATTTGGAAAAATTGGAAGCGTCCCGCAATGAGCTGCATTCGCTGCTAGATAAACCGCAATTAAATGGCATTCCAGTGCTCGTCCTGGGCAACAAACGTGATCTTCCTGGAGCGCTTGATGAGACTGGGCTTATTGAGCGAATGTAATTTGAGTTGATTTCCAGCCAATTCTATAACTAAGCAAAGATTCGTTTTTTTTGCAGGAATCTGTCCAGCATACAGGATCGTGAAATCTGTTGTTATAGTATTTCGTGTAAGGAAAAGGACAACATCGATATAACGCTGCAGTGGTTAATTCAGCATTCGAAAAGCCAAAGTCGTTAGATTATAGCTTAACATTTACACACACACAAACCAACTCACACACACACACACACACACACACACACGAAATTTAATGCACTCTCTCGCAAACACATTGATCAAGTAACTTCATTTGCAGTATATTAATTTGATGTAGACTGTTAATTGTTGTATGAGTATAATTCGAAGCTAAGCTAAAGCTGTGGCGATGGCTCGTTATGATTGTTAGCATGTGTGTTTGTCTAAGGAATTTGTGTTTGGGCTGAGACGTCGTGTTGGGGGTGCTCCTCGTTAGGACCAAATATCTCGAATTGTAGTTCAAAAATGTGACAGGACTAATGAAAAATAGCCAACCGATTCTGTATAAAAGTGAGCAACTATAAACACAACACAAACAACTACACACACACACACACACACACACACAAACAGAGAGACACACATACACGTATATACATATTTCCCTTGTACACAGCGAGAAATCGCAAAGTATTTTGCATATTGTGCGTTCACCTCATACAGCCGTTAAATTTGGTGTCTCTATTTGTTGCTTGTATCAGCAATAGTTAGGCTTATGTTTAGTGTTTTATTGGTGTGATTATATAAAATTATTGATTTTTTATTATCATTATATATATATATAGGCCCATATATATACATACATATATAGAAATAAACGAAATACAAATACAAATTATGATTTACCTAAATAGTTTATGTTTTTGCTTAGCGAAAATTTAGAAACAAGATAAAAAGACGTTTCAAACTAATTATGTATCTATGTATGTAAATGCGTGCAACAACAAGAAAAATTAAGTAATAGAATGTTTGTATGCCATTGCTAAACAACAACAACAACCAAAACAATGTATAACTATTAAACAATAATATTTAAAAAACAATAACAATTGATACCAGTGTAAGATAAATGCATATTCCGATTTGCCTGTATCATTGATCTATGTTTAAGCAAGCGCCGGCACGCTTACTGTATGACATCTCCTTAGCACACCCACACACACACACATACACTCACACACACTCACAGTTGAATTATGCTTATGTACAATATTTTGATATATTTTAATAATCTATTTCAATTATAAACTACATTAATCTAACTGAAAAAGGGAGACGCCCACAAGAAGCGAACAAAGCAAAACTAATAAAGACTATTATAAAAGCGGAAGCGAAACCATAGGGCACGCATTGTGTGAGAACTGGCGCAACTGAAACTATTTCGAGAATAAAATATTGTATTGTGTTTTCCACTGATCCCTAAAGTATGCAATACCAAATGCGTTTGCATGGGTAGAAATTGAGTATACCCCACTACGCATATGTGGGGTATATATGCCTTAGACTTAGATAAAACCTTTGTGACTAGGAATAGATTACTAGAGGCGCATGCACATCTTTAGATTTGAGAACAATTTTTAATTTCATTCACTGTTTTTCGGGCTGAATTTCAAACTCTTCAGTTTAATAAGGTTTTAGGGCTCAATTTTTAATAGCAATATGAAATAATATTTTAAAATATATATATTAAATATTTTCAGTTATTTAATTTTTTAAATAGTTTCTGAAATGATTTTAAAAATGTTTTTGAAAAAGTTTCTCCACAAAGAATTTTGAAAAGATTTCCTTAATACAAATTTTCCAAATATTTTTTCTAATCAAAATATTTTCATAGGATAGTCTAAATAGATACTTTCTTAAGACTATCTTATTATCTTAAAAGGTACTCTAACAGAGATTATCCAAAAAGTTTCCTTAAGATCCTCTAAATAGTTTCCTTTTTAAGATTTTCCCTATGTACCTGCTTTCGATATAGAAAAAATATTATATATTTTCTATGCGCACAGGTGATGGGTCGGTTGTGATAAGACTATGATGCATAATGCTAATGTAGACCCATGAATCAATGACAAATGACAATATGCGCTCGCCAGTGCCAGTGCCATAGCCAGAGCCTGGCTCATCAGACATGCTGAGCGGCGTACACTGAAAATAATTTATAGTCGCATTTGAGGCGCTGCACAAGACTGGTAGTCGGATGGTCTCTGCTCTGGCCACCCAGTTGTCGGAGAGCAAGTGGGCAATTGATCGATGCGATTGAATATGAACGCATAAATACTCTTCTAACCAGAGCCCTTAGCGCAAGCCAGACAGAGGACAAGACGGGCCTAATTACGAATTCTGTGCGCAAAGGCTGTGTTCCAGGAATACGTGTCAAGTGCTGGCTCCAGCTCCAGCTCCGACTGTGACTGCGACTCCGATTGTGACTGTGGCTCTGGCCAGTGCAGTTTCAGTTGGGACACGAGCCGAGTGACTCGAGTGACTCATATGAAAATATTCTCATGCCTGCGGGCTGCTTGGGCTGCTTCCTGCTTCCTTTTGGGAGCGCAGCGTGCAGCCAGCAAGTTCGCTGCCTAAGTCTTTTGTTTGGTCATCAAATTGAGTTAATTACACTTTTAAATGCTGGAAATTAACAGTGCGCCGATAAAGATCTTACAGCTCGACTCGCCACAAGCCACATAACATAACTTGGCCATAACTTGAGCAAACCACAACAACGACAACTACAACGACAACTACAACGACAACGACAGCAACGTGTCCACTGTCCGTTGTCCGCTGTCCGTTGTTCGCGCTGCCAGCTTCGCTTGTGCTCGTGCTTTGAGCTTGCGACAAGCTCATAAATTTTCATAAACATAACAAAAACAGCTCGCTAATGTTTTACGCTAAGAAACTAACAGAAAACTAAGTTTCAATTATGTTTTCGGGCCATAAAAAATAGAAGTAAATAAATACAGGAAAAAAGAAAAGAAACTAAACTAAAATCAGAAATTCTTAATGTTATTATAATCTATACTCTAGCAAGAGGCACTAGAGTTTTCTCTTCAAAGATGCAACATAGAAGGGAATATATTTTTAAATGGATATATATTTTTATATGATATATTATTGTTAGTGATTTAATTTTTATATGCACTTAATTTAATTATTA